CAACATAATAACTCTAGACGTCGTAACTGTAAATGGGTTTTTGTTGAAAGTATAAAGGGTTTTTCAGAAGATTTAGAATTGGTTGTAGTTTCCTGATGTATTAGTTAAAAGACAATAAAATACAGAACCAGCGCTGGTTTATTTAAGATCGAGAAAGTTAAAAGTATTTATTCTGTGTACTTGCTATTTTGGGCCATTTAGCAACGGTTAAATAATTACTCCACGTTACGATGTTATCTGATCTTATGCCTGCCAGAAAAATTAAGTTTTGCATGTTATTCCTTCACTAACCGCTTCAAGATTTATTTTGTCCCTCTATTCTCGTTCAAATCGTTAGAAACGTTAAAATTTTAATTTCACTTTATAGTTCACAGTGACTTAAAAGAATTTATAGTAGATTTCAGACTTCAAGTTTGGATAAACAACTATGGTATATAAGTGTGCACAACAAAACTTCAATTTAGATGAAGGTCTTACACAAAAATAAAATAAAATTCTAAAAAATAAGTACAGCCTGGAAGAAAGCTCCAATACAGCTTAACATTTAATGGCAACAATACGAAACTCATGAATATGTAAATATATAGGTTTTAAACTTCAGAACAGCAGTAGGCGAAGCGATTAACTCATGAAATTCATAAGGTCTTGAAACTGTCTGAAAGGAAACTCTACCACAGCTTCAGGTTAAATTTGTGTACGAGTTTAGGATGTTGTTACCAGACATTTGTATGTGCCACATACAAATGTTTGGTTTTAAACTTCAGAACAGCAGTAGACGAAGCGATAAACTCATGAAATTCATAAGGTCTTGAAACTGTCTGAAAGGAAACTCTACCACAGCTTCAGGTTAAATAACAACATCCTAAACTCGTACACAAAAGCACATACAAATGTCTGGTTTTAAACTTCAGAACAGCAGTAGGCGAAGCGATTAACTGATGAAATTCATAAGGTCGTGAAACTGTCTGAAAGGAAACTCTACCACAGCCTCAGGTTAAGTAACAACATCCTAAACTCGTACACAAAAGCACATACAAATGTCTGGTTTTAAACTTCAGAACAGCAGTAGG